ATTCTTAAGAAATATACGTGAAGAATTTGAAATTAGAATCCGCCCTCAGGAACCGAAAACGCTGAATGAATGTTTTAATATTGCCTTAGAAATTAACATGAATATGAAAGATAAAAGAAGAATTGACAACTTTACCAGAAACCCAAGAAATGAAAACCTAGTACGAAAACCAAGATTTAGCGAACCAAGAAATTTAGAAAAATGCAACCATTGCAAAAATTAAGGACATACAGAGGATGTTTGTAGGGGAAAATTAAAAGGTTTACCACTACGTCAAGAGAAAACTCAAATTTTTCAACTACGATCAATCAACACCAAACCACCACTCCGAGTGCAGCTAAGCAAAGAATTTTCTTTATCGGAGAACCCGCTAAGCACGACCTTCCAGCGATCCCAAGAGAACGAAGAAGACACGACACACCTATTGTGGCTTTAAAATTTGATAAATTAGCATCAGGAAAATCGGAAACAATTCCATAACATTCGAATATTCTATTTGTTTAAAGCATTACGGTAAAAAATCAGTTTTTCAAGTTACAAAAGATAAAAATGCATTTAGAAAAAACGGTTTAATTGGAATAAATTTACTTTACGATCAAAAATTTAAAATTGACTTAGAACAATGTATTTTAAACTTAGGGCCTAAAATACTTTATCCGCAATCTAGTGCAGACAAGAGAGATAAAATCTGTTTTACTAATTTTAAAGGAAGCTATATAGTAGTTACAAAATATGATTATGAAATTATTTATAAGAAAGGAATTTCTAACACAAACGCTGACGCCTTATCGCGCATTTCAAGGGTTCAGATGACAACAGATGGTACAAAAAACTCAAGTTACGCTTTTTGATTCTCGATAAGGATATGTATTTTAACATTTTTTTATTTTATTTTCCTTCATTTTTGCGGGGGGGTCGACTGGCATGAAACGCAGAAGAAAGTTGCTTCTTTCTAGTCATATTGTAAACAATGTTGGTAAATAAGAAGAATTATTAGTTGAAATAAATGAAATGTAAGATAAGAATCCAAAAATTATAATTATTACTTCGGCTACACATTTTACGACAAATAATACGTCTAGGAAGGTAATTGAAAATTATACAAACGCTTATATTTTTCTCAAGAACGCGGACAGATATATTTTTTTTAATTTTTGTTTTTTGCTGTTTTTAGCACTTTAATTTGCGAAATTATAATTTTTGTTCTCGTCTGCACATTATACAACAAAAGGTACGTCTTCAAAGGTCATCTAAAAATTTTTCAAACGCTTACATTTTGCTCGTAAGCGCCCTACTGCAAATGCTCACATCCCTATTGAAAATCCCCATATGGGAAACCACATGGGAAACCACATGGGATCCTATGTCAAAAACCATGTAAAACCCTACTTCCATGAAGGAAAACACGTGGTTTACCATGTGGTTTCCCATGTCAAACCATATGGGAAATTGAGACAGGATTTTAGTTAGGAATAGACATGGGAAATTTGAACAGTTCATCTATGCATAAAACCATATCAAATCCCACATGTTTTTCCCAGTCAAATCCTTAACCGAATCCCATGTGAAAAACAGTATCATTCATTTATAATTATTTTCCCAAGTCAATCCCCAAGTGAAAAACAGTATCATTTATTTATAATTATTTTCCCATGTCAAATCCTAAACCAAATCCCATGTGAAAAACATTATCCGCCTTATTGAATATCCCTACATGGGAATCCACTTGGAATTTTACAAGGGATTTCACATAGGATTTTATTTGGGAATTGACATAGGATTTCATGCAAGATTTCACCTAGGATTTAATGAGATATCACATAGTATTTTATTAAAAAACCAATGAAGAAATTTTCAAAGGATTAAAAATTATTTAATAAAAAATTAAATAATAAATAGTATTAGTGTTACAAGTCATCAAAAAAGTAAAAAAAACGATCATTTGAAACACGTCCTCTCTGCTACAGGTTCCAGGTTTCCATGTGGTTTCCCATATGGGGATTTTTAATAGGGATGAGAACCTACGTGGGTTCTTTTATAAAAGCCCATTAAAAATCTCATAATTCACGTAAGAATCCACATGGGATCCTATATAATAGCACCTGTGAATTTGGAACACGATTTGAATTTTGAATTCATGTGCGAATTTGTGTTTTGTATATATGGAGCATTCCAGGCCAAATCGGAAATTATTTTGCTTTTGCATCTCAAGTTTTTTTTAAACATTTATTTTCTTTTAGTACTCTTTGAAATAAGCTACCTTGATTTTTTTTTAATTTTTTCATAAAGTGGTTCAGGAGGTACAGATTTTTGAAAAATAAAGTTTTTACGTAAATTTTTGTTTTAAATGCTTATAACTCTGTCAAAAATTAATCAAATTAGACGTTATTATAATGAAAAGTTTTGTTTTTACGCGTAGTTTTTAATAAAAATATTTTTAAAAAATTAAAATTAATTTACGATAAGATTTTGAAATTTTTCCAATAAAATTTCATTTTTAAAAATGTATGTATTAATTAATTTTTTTCAAAATTTTTTGTAAGAAACTAGCACTAAATTAACAATTTTTAAGCCTTGTCCGATCGTGGGCAAACGATGGGATCTATTTATTTAAAATTTTTTAATTTTTATATACGCAGTGGTGGCCAATGACTGACTTGCCATTTGACAAAATCACACAAATTTTTTACAGCAAATGTGTTTTCAGACTGAGTCTCTCCAAACTTAACCTTCTTTTTGTGTAAAATTGTGATTTGGTCAAATGACAAGTTAGGCCTACCGTTTTCACTGTGTATATAAAAATTAAAAATTTTAAAATAAATAGATCCCATTGTTTGCCCACGATCGGACAAGGCTTAAAAATTATTACAAAAATATTATTACAAAAAATTAAAAAAAAAATTGATCGATACATACATTGTTAAAAATGAAATTTTATTTGAAAAATTTTAAAATCTTATCGTAAATTATTTTAAATTTTTTTAAAAATATTTTTATTAAAAACAACGCGTGAAAACAAAACTTTTCATTATAATAACGTCCAATTTGATCAATTTTTGACCGAGTTATAAGCATTTAAAACAAAAAAACCGCTGCCAAGTTGTACATTTTTATAATTTTGGTGTTCATTTCATGAACACTTTGCTTCCACAATTTTTGATTTTTCAAATACCAATAATTTCATAATTTCTACCCGAATAAGGTTCAAAAATAGGTCAATCGAAGCGTTTTTTAGTGCTCTTCAAGTTGGTAATAATTTTTTGAAGTTACTTTTACATAATTTAAAAAAAAATTTATAAAAGTCTTATTTTTCAAAATTTTAGATTTTTAAAAGTTTAATATCTCCGGATAATATGGACGAAAAATGTTCAATTGGGGATGAAAAGATGCGTCTGAAAAGACTCTACAAAATAAATAAAAAACAAAACTAAACTTTTACATTTTTCAACAAAATTTTCAAAAAAGTCTTATTTTCTAAAATTTTTGATTTTTTAAAGTTTAATATTTCTGGTTAATATGAACGAAAAATGTTCAATTAGGGCTCAAAAGATGCGTGTGAAAAAACTCTACAAAACTAAAGAAAAACATTTATAAGTGTCCTAACATTTTTTTAAGTTATGTCCAAAAAACGTTTTTTTACAAAATGAAAAATGCAAAAAAAAATAGTTAAACTTCATTAATCGGGCTGAAAATACTCTCATTTTATGTCACCCGGGGAGACCTACAATTTAAAAAAATTGAGGCCTTTAGCTCTTTCTCGTTCTGAGATATTGAGGCAAATGTAATGTTAGTACACACACACACACACATCGGGACAAATTTTTAAAATCCGTTTTTTGGACTTCGGAGGTCAAAATACGTCGAAATTTTTTTTTATTTATTTAGAACATTTATACGGGGAGTTCCTGTGCATATATAAAGTACTAAAGTATTAGGCATAATAAAAAAATATTTATAAATATGTCAAAAAATGACAATCCAAAATTTTGCTAATACAAAGCTTCCTTTATGAGGAAGCAATTTACGTAAAAAACGTCATTTTTCAAAAATCTGTATCTCCTGAACCGCTTTATGAAAAATTTGAAAAAAATCAAGGTAGCTTATTTCAAAGAGTACTAAAAGAAAATAAATGTTTAAAAAAATTTGAGATGCAAAAGCAAAATAACTTCCGATTTGGCCTGGAATGCCCTATATATATGAGCGTAGAAAGTTATGTAAATTTCTACATATGTAGGAACACGTTTAGGATTTCACATAGGATTTCATATAAAGTATCTGGAGTAGCTAATATAATTTCTATCCATATAATAGCAATAAGTGAAGTCCGAAACGTCCTAAACACAAAAACAAATTCCCACATGAATTCCCACTTAAAATCGTGTCCCAAATTCACATGTGCTTTCACATAGATTCTTACGTGGGTTGTGGGATTTTTAATGGATGTTTTCAGTAAGGTGTAGATAGGCAGATTATTATGTCACTTGTACTTTATCACGAAATTTTTCAAAACTTGTGATAGACATTATTTTATAATAACATTTATAAAAGAATTGCATTCATCTGAGATTTAAACGTAATGCATTTCACAGAATTGTTATCCAAAAGTATTGTCAATAAGCTTAAAAGTTATGGAACAGAATTGTTATTTAACAGACCACTCATATAACAGAATTGTCACTTGACAAACCCGACATTTCGCAAAATTGTCATTTGACAGAACCAACATGCAACAAAATTTTTATTTGATAGACCCCACATTTATCAGAATTGACAATTAAAATCTAAGTATGGTGGCAACTTTGGGCCAAATGTTGGCAAAACCAAGTAAAACTCCGAGAAACATAGTTTAAGAGACTTAAAATTGTTTGTCAGCTAAAGACTGGGCTTTAAAATAAAATGTCGGCCCAACTACTAACACCAATTATACATTATACACATCGTATAATGATTGAATTAAAAAGGCTTATAAAATTAAAAAGAAAATATTACTTATTACTTACTATTAATAAAATCTACTTCCACAGAAATATTCTGTCCACTATAGAATTTACAGATGTATTCCCCGCAACCGCTAATTCTAATATTAATAGGCATTGGTGTTTGTCTGTCACACTGTTTAAAACTTGAAGATTGAGAAACGGTGATGCCAAAAATCAATACCAAGTCTAAAACATTTAAAATAGAATTTCTTATAATTTTACTTACACTAACCCCCATAGCATCTAAACTTGCAGCAACAATAAAATTGCCTCAATATTGTGAAACTTGCAGTAATTGTGTCTATGTTGCAGTAAGTTTATATGCTATGGGAAACTGAAATACTTATAAATTACAATATACAAATACTACTTCCTCATTGAGAAAGTATTGTGACAGAATAATATATTATAATAATGTATAATATTGATTAAATCGATCACTCAGAGTCTGGTTATTAAACATATTGACCAGCATTAAATGCTACCCACACAGCACCAAACTTTCTTAAAAATGTATTAAAGATTTAATTGCAAACTTCGGATTATTTACTGGCAAAGATTATTTATTTACAATAGATGGTATCCTTTTGTACAAAAGTACTTTAACAATCTAAGTTGTTAATTACATAAAAGCCCTTAATTATTGGCTTAACCTATCATTAAAAAGCTAGGAAGCTGTTTACAATTTTGTATTAAGTACAATTCTTTTCAGAGCAAAACTTGAATCTACTTGCATTACTATCGAATAAATCTAATTCATTTGCAACTAGGTTCGGCTCACTACTATAATCCTACCAATCAAAGAATTATTACCGTAGTTAGTTCTATGAAAAGAAACTGAAAATAAAGTATAATGTATTGTAATTCTCCTGGGTACTGAGAGATTTACCATTAACAAAAGCGATGGACAGTAAATACATAGCCCCATTCATTAACTTATAAAGAAACTATTAAATGCAAGACGACCCACAGGTGGGGCGTCTTGCACCACACTTTTTATAATTAAGAATTTACATCAGATCCACTATTAAATATTGTTAAGCACGTTCATTAATTTCAAAAAGACAATAAATAAACAGTAGAGGAGAACGGGGCGAGGCAGACAATTGCTTCTTATTTCTGCATATTTTTTTCAAATCGTGCACTATTGATAATGTAGACTGCTTATGGTAGTTTACTTTAGTTGATAACAGATGGGAATTATTGCTGCAGCAGTTTAGCAGTGACAGTATCATTTATGAAAACAGACTTTTTGGATGTAACTTTTCTAAGAGTTATTTTGGTGATTTTATTTAATAGAGTTACACGAATGAAATTCTTGTAAAGTGATTTTCAATGCAGAATTTCTTAAAAAAGTACTCGTGGGGTTCGGCAGCCAACACTAAATTTTTCGTCTTTTTGTGTTGATTTTATTGGTTCTTCTAAATGTATTCTCTTTTTTTTCTACTCCACTACATTTTAAACTTAAAATTGAATTTTATAAACCATTTTTTAAGAATAACAAATTTATATTTCCTTAACCCTTTAACGCCGGGACGGACACTTTTTTTGAATCATTTTCAACGTTAATTATTTTTGTTATTAGACATGTAGAAAATTTTCGGAATAACATTTTCTGTTGTATTTTTTATCGCTCTTTCAGAATCTGTCATCAAAATTGGAAAAAATAAAAATTCCTAAAAGTTATGGCCATTTTTTTTGGAAAAAAATCCAAATTTTTGACATTTTTGATTCAAAAATGATTTTTTTTTCATGTTAGCAGTAACCAGAAAAATTCTTTATCATAAAATATCGCGTCCACAATATCCAAGCTTCAAAGTTATGGACCATACATTTAAAAATTTCAAGATGGCAGATCCAAAATGGCGACAAAAGAATTTTTTTTCCCCAAAATTGCCACCCTGTGGACTTTTTTTTTAATTCTCCTTTTATCTTCAAGACAAATAGTACTTGAATGTTTTTTGGGTCGCTGATTACGAATATGATGTCAGTTTTCAAAAATTCAAAATGGCGGATCCAATATGGCGGACGAAATTCTAAAAAATTATCAAATTCACTTGAAACTTGTTACTCAGGGGTTTTTGGGGTCGCTGATTACGAATATGATACCAGTTTTTAAAAATTCAAAATGGCGGATCCAATATGGCGGATGAATTTCTAAAAAATTATCAAATTCACTTGAAACTTGTTACTCGGGGTTTTTTGGGGTCGCTGATTACGAATATGATGTCAGTTTTTAAAAATTCAAAATGGCGGATCCAATATGGCGGACGAATTTCTAAAAAATTATCAGATTCACTTGAAACTTGTTACTCGGGGGTTTTTGGGGTCGCTGAAAACGAATATAAAGTCAGTTTTCAAAAATTCAAAATGACGGATCCAATATGGCGGATGAATTTCTAAAAAATTATCAAATTCACTTGAAACTTGTTACTCGGGGGTTTTTGGGGTCGCTGATTACGAATATGATGTCAGTTTTTAAAAATTCAAAATGGCGGATCCAATATGGCGGACGAATTTCTAAAAAATCATCAGATTCACTTGAAACTTGTTACTCGGGGGTTTTTGGGGTCGCTGAAAACGAATATAAAGTCAGTTTTCAAAAATTCAAAATGACGGATCCAATATGGCGGACGAATTTCTAAAAAATCATCAGATTCACTTGAAACTTGTTACTCGGGGGTTTTTGGGGTCGCTGATACCGAATTTTAAGTCAGATTTCAATAATTCAAATTGGCGGATAATTTCTTACTTCATTCATTTAGCTAAATGAATTGTCTATTAGTTAGTCTTTGCAGTCAGTTGTTTTACAACATCATTGAATTGCATTTCCTTTAGAAAGTATATGTGACCCCATCTGAGAAAAGGGACCTTATGGCCAAAAAATCGATTTTTTTATTTTGACAGTGTCTTACACTTTAAGGTCCTTAAAATGCATGTAATCCTGGGTTAAAAAAGTAATTTCAATCCTTTAAACAAATAAAATATTTTCACTTAAAAAAAGTTGAGTTTGTTCATAATGTCCCTGTTCTCGGACGCGGTCACATATTGTTTCTTACTTTATTGACAACACCAGAAAGACATGGTTTCTCTAAAGAACGTATAAACTTTTAACACAATCTAATCTTTCTCTGAAATTTTCACTACCATATTAAATTCGGAATATTGAATTTTTGAAAACCGGCTTCATATTCGTTTTCAGCGACCCCAAAAACCCCCGAGTAACAAGTTTCAAGTGAATCTGATGATTTTTTAGAAATTCGTCCGCCATATTGGATCCGCCATTTTGAATTTTTGAAAACTGACATCATATTCGTAATCAGCGACCCCAAAAACCCCCGAGTAACAAGTTTCAAGTAAATTTGATAATTTTTAAGAAATTCATCCGCCATATTGGATCCGCCATTTTGAATTTTTAAAAACTGGCATCATATTCGTAATCAGCGACCCCAAAAACCCCTGAGTAACAAGTTTCAAGTGAATTTGATAATTTTTTAGAATTTCGTCCGCCATATTGGATCCGCCATTTTGAATTCTTGAAAACTGACATCATATTCGTAATCAGCGACCCAAAAAACATTCAAGTACTATTTGTCTTGAAGATAAAAGGAGAATTAAAAAAAAAGTCCACAGGGTGTCAATTTTGGGGAAAAAAAATTCTTTTGTCGCCATTTTGGATCTGCCATCTTGAAATTTTTAAATGTATGGTCCATAACTTTGAAGCTTGGATATTGTGGACGCGATATTTTATGATGAAGAATTTTTCTGGTTACTGCTAACATGAAAAAAAAATCATTGTTAAATCAAAAATGTCAAGAATTTGGATTTTTTTCCAAAAAAATGGCCATAACTTTTAGGAATTTTTATTTTTTCCAATTTTGATGACAGATTCTGAAAGAGCGATAAAAAATACGTCAGAAAATGTTATTCCGAAAATTTTCTACATGTCTAATAACCAAAATAATTAACGTTGAAAATGATTCAAAAAAAGTGTCCGTCCCGGCGTTAAAGGGTTAAAATGTTAAATTGAATTTAATTAATGTTATTATTATAATATTATTCAAATGTAAATTTTTGAAGTTTACTAACAAAATAAAAGTAAGTTAAGGACAACTACCTTATTATGTTTCATTAATTTTAACTTTAAGTTATGTTTTTCTAACTATTAAAATAATGGCCGCCTCACCCCACGTTTTTTCAAATATACCAAAATGTGGTCCTTTGGGAAAAGGGTTGTAGACATTTTTAAGTGCAACCTACGTCAAAATGTTCTATGGCGATTTTTTAGCCAAAAAGACAAGCTTTCTAACGCGATATTAAAATTGAAAAAACCTATTATAATAACTGCCTCGCAAACCAAAATGTGCCGTCTTGACTGCCTCGCCCCGTTCTCCTCTACATAGAAAAGAATAATTTCAATTTTATACTATTCCTCTTCTTTTGCAGCATTTTTTCCTCTTATATATGGGCACTAAAGTTTTCATTTCTAATTGAGAGGATTTTCCTCTTTTATATTTTCCATTTAATGTCACTTTTTAAACAGTTTGAAGCTGCGTTCAGAAAAACAAAAAACAACTTAAAAATCTTCTTTCTAGTATAAATTTGTTTCAATTTGAGAGGAATAATTTCAATCAAAGAAGAAAGGTTAAAAATTTAACATTACATTACATTTAAATAAATTAATTAAAAAAATACTATAGATAATGGACATGCTTTAATCTTCGTCAACCTTAAGCTTTAGTAACCGTCATCAAATATATTATAAAGTAGTTTTAATTTTAGTTATTTTCAGATAGACGAATACTAAAATATATAAAGATTATAATATGCAAAATTCATTTAAGCAAAAGAAAACAAATTTTTTAACACAATTCGATATAGAAATTCAGTTATTAAGGTACCTACCTAGTGGGCACACTTGTTCAAAAGACGTGCTAAAGATATCTTTTTGCGGACGTCTTTAAGACGTCTTAAAGACGTCCTATACATGTTCTATGTCTTGGCCATTAGATGTCTTTAAGATGTCTAAAAGACGTCTTTTTCATTCAACATTTGAAAATAGAAAAATTTCCATAAATAGAAAATATTATTTTCTAAGTTCAACTTGAACTCAGAAATTCATGAATGTAAAATTCATTAGAATTTTTCTAAGTTAAATTCATTTCATTGACAAGTGAGATCGTTAACTTTGTAGAGGTTCATATCTGTCTTGAACGGCTGAAGTGCT